TCGGTTTTCTGATAAATAAATCTGTAAGTATAACTTTATTTATAGATTTAAAGGTATTAAATATTTATTAAGTATTAAAAATAATTATTAATGGATATATTCGAATTCATACAATATATTTCAGTATCAGAATTAGAATATACTGTAGTATGTGTGGAAGCGTGTGTAAATACAGTATATATAGAGCAAATCTTCACTTAACGCCGTCGATAGGTTCTTGGAAATTGCAAAGTTAAGCGAAACGACGTATAACGCGAAACAAATTTTACCATTAGCCAGATAATATAAACAAGAGTTAAGTTTCCTATTGGATCGTGTTTCAAACCTCCAGTATTTAATTCCCATCTCATTCAATCAATTTTATTATTTATAAAGAAAATTCAACAGCAATAATTGAAAATGATTACGATATCACTTGTATCTTTCCTCAACAACGTTATAACGAAATGATATTAATTGAAGACTTGCTGCATATAATGGCAGGCTCGGTTTTGAGGCTACCCTCGCGTTCAGAAAGGGTATGTTCCAAAGCTCAACTGCAAATCGCCGATGATTAACTTAGTATGACGTCAAGACCAATTCAACGCTAGCGTATTCAAGAAACGGTTTGTTGAGAGAAAACTGTAATCAGAACGAAGATTGAGAACAAGTAAAACACGTTAAGTTTATGAAGTTCACGATTTCTACTGTCGTACCGTTAGAAAATATTTATTTTTATAAATAACTCTGACAATAATTACTCTTTGTCGCGAACTTTAAACGTGTAAAAATGGATAAACATAATTTAATTTATTAAATTATTTTCATAATTACCCTACGTATAAAATTTTAAACAATCGTTTAAAATTTAATAGGTAAGTTCTATCATTTTTAACGAAATAAAATTCTTCCACGGTATCTTTGACGTAGTTCAACACACTCAATAACTTTCGGTTACGATGAGTGTGTATTTAAATCTGTTGAGCTCATCTTTGGTTGATTTGATGAGATTTGAAACGTTTTGCTGAAATCATTTCGTCATTACTGATTTTTAAGGTTGAGCTTTGGAACGCAGCTAAACATTTAAAATCATCAGACCGTTTTAACACTTTTGAGGCCTCAACCCGATTTTTTAAAGTCATTTTTCAGGTACAGACTTTAGAACAAAAATATTAATAATGAACAATGGGATGAAGCCTACTCCTAAGAAAGCAAGGCACCCCCCGCCATACCCAAGCGTTAATTGCGACCTGAAAATCATTAAGTTTAGCAGTTTACTTTGTATTTTCATTTATTTGCTGCGCCTAAGGCTTAGAGCCCAGAATGGTGGGCTTTCTAACTTGGGGCCTGGATGGTCTATATTTAGAGCCGTCATTATGTTTATAGATATATATTTACTAATGGGCCCATTTATATATTCAGTACAGACTTTATTATATTCATAGAGTAGGCTACATAACGAATGTATATCAACAGATATTCAATAAATAAATATTTTTTGATCTAACGTGTTGTAAAATCAAAAATTTTATTATATAGTTTTTTAAATTTTATCATAAAACTTAACAAATAATATAAAAATAAAATAATAAAAACCAGTCTCGATCGACCTGCTTCGACTAACAAGTAAGCAAACAGGTGAAGAGAGAGGGGAGAGAATGGTAAGTAAAATGTAGCAAATTGATATCGATTCTTCGAAGTATAAATACGAAATATGACAATCTTCGAACATGCCTTATCACTTAGAACTAAATAACAAAGCAATCCTTATTAGCGGGGCTACAAACAACCTTAAAGAAGCATTCAGACAAGTGAAGCTACAGAATAACGAAAGAATTTCTAGGGAAAAAAATAACCAAGATAGAAAAATTCGTCCTATAAGGAAAGTAAACGAATTTTTATAAGATGCTGTATAGAGATTTGTCACAGGCGATCGATTCTGGATAGACCTATATAGATAACCAAGTCAGACCGGTCTTGTAACATTTCGAGTTTGAAATCAAAATAAAAAAAAATAAATTATCTATTAGCCACCAAAATTGATTGCGTAAGTCAAACTACTTCACCTAGTCGCCATCAGATAAGATACTGACCCTATTGTTGAGTGTAATGAATGAGTAATATTAGACAAACGATCTGAAACACTCGGTGCATGATACGAGCGATCGCTGCTTTTATATACGTAGTTAATCGCGTGCAGCAAATATGTGGATGAAGAAAGCAAATCTTTAAACTTAAATAACATTGAAATAAATCGATCGTCATTCCACAGCATGACCTAGTCGTACCAGAATATAACGTGACACCAAGGTGAGCTGACCGCACGTAAAAAATCTTTCAACCCTTTAAGAAGCGACGTCTAAGACGGGCACGACTTAAGATCTTACTCAACTGTGATGTATGCCATAATATATTAAATTTGATAATGGATTACATTAATTAAAGTTCATCTTTCAAGAAATTGTGCTCTTTTTTTAAAGTAGTTTTATATTTACGAACAAAACAGGTTTCGGTCTGAGGCAATCTGTTCTAGAAGCTTTAGAAACGATTTGTTTAGTCGCAAGTCAGAAATAGCATGTAGAAGCGACTGTTTTTTATCAAGTTTAAAGAATATTTATACAGAATTCTATCCAAACGAATGCTATTTATATAAATATTAATTAATTTTTATATAATGTGTTGCCGTTTTTGTACGCTCGAATTAAAATAGGGGTTAAGAGGTAGTGATTTTAGGGCATCATTGATCTGAGAAGGTCATTAATTAATATCAAGTTCATATATTTTTTCTCATAAACCGAAACAAATGAACAATTAACTACATATACGATACTGTAATTATATAAATGCAGAAGCCTGATATTTAAGAATATTTTAAAATTAAAAACAGTCAAGGAAGGATTTAATGTTCTGCATAAATGCATTTCTATATATAAAACACAATCTCCATTGTTCAATTAAGTTACAACTGCAAGCTTTTTTATTTAATTATGTTATNGAATTATCATTAATTAATGAATGTACTTTCTAAAAAAACATCAAATAAAAAATCACAAAATTCGTCCCTTTTTAATTTTTAATCATTATAAAATTGAAAAAGAGATCATCGACCGGATTTATAACAATAACGAGTGAATATTGTCATCGATGGGGGTGGATGAGTCACGGAGAATTCTAAGTTAAACATGTCAAACACTTCGATTAAATTAAGTACAGGGTACACAACACGACAGGATGAGGGTGGATTTACACATCTAAATACGGCAATATCCACTTCATTTAATTACATTACTTCGTTATACGTTTATTTATGTGAATGGGTAGAATTTTTATTGTTATTTTTGCTCGAGTTTTAACACTAAATTAAACAGGAAAGGGCAATGACAGCGTACTACGAAAGGACTGGTTTTACTCTATCCATTTAGAATTCTTTAAGTGTATATTTTTAAAAAAGTAAGCAGAAAATGCCCGGGGTTCTTCATGCCAAGCATTCATAAGTGAATCAGTTTGTAAGATTTCATTGATCACTACAAGTAGGATATTTACTTTTTTAAAAACTGTAGTAATGAAAATGTCATTTATAAATTGGAAAATGATCTAAAATATTTTGTAAATTAATAAAATTTTAAATGAATTTTTTAAAGCGAGGAAAGAATAAAAGAGGAATTGTTTACAGTGAAAAGAATATTTATATTTCGCTCCTATCACAGGAAGTGAAATTATACGCATTGCGATACAGTGTATGTCAAAACTCTCCCCTTTTAGTAGCTTATTACGATATATCAACTGATTTTTCACATTCTATAACCCAAAACGTCAGATTCCGAAACAGGAAAAGGGCGTCTACGACCATCCAGTCGCTCTCGAAGGTCCAAAGAGGGCCAGATGTGCTGACGCGTGAGGGAAGTTCAGTCGAAACCGTTAAGAGGAAGTCCTGCATGATGTCAGTCTACTAGAACACGTGACGCACCGGATGATTTTTATCGTTTCCACGAAAGTCGAAATTTCGCTATAGAAAATGTCGGTTTGTTTCCAACTCGTTTCTTCCTAACACAATCTACAGGTACCGCGTTGTTACGTGTTGAAGAGCGCGCACACCTGATTGTATTTGTTGATATCGATTTAATTTTATCCAGGAATAAACCAGCATCTACAGTAAAGGGCGAGTTGAAAGCGCTTTAATAGCATTTTTTAATATAAGAAAAAGTCTAGAAGGCGCAACAAACACCTCTTATCACCCCACATACGTATACAGAGGACGTGTACTTCACGCAAGATAGATAATTGAGTTTTGTACGGTCCAGAAACTATAAAAAAAATAACTGTCCATTAAAAACATCAAGAGATCTATTAGAGGCGTGTGCCACTTAGTTACACACGCCAACTCGTCACCTCCCTCTACGCGAGTGTATCGTACTGTTACCACAGTAACCAGTAGTACTTTTATTTCTAATTTTCAGGAAATATACTCTCGCTTCATTTATATTTCGATCACTTACGTATTAAATTTGAGGAGTGTAATCGATTTCGGTCGATATAATCTGTAGACCACCCGTCTACTAACGTTTGCGATGCGTCAGGCGTCGCAGAGGCGCGCCTCTAAGGAGCCAGCACTCTAATGAAGGATTCCGATATGAAAATGAAGCGCAAAGCGTAACGCAACCAGCGCTTCCCGTTTGCACAGCGCATCGACTTACACGGGTGTTGAGCATCTGGAAGACCAGGTGCGGGCGACCCGCATTGTTCAAAGACGTGTTGGTAGTACTACTATAACCGCACGTGCTTACCTCGAGTCACGTGCGGAGAGACGACAGCTGCTGCTAAAGAGCAACAGCTGCTGCTCTAATCTATTGTTCTTGTAAGTGCGATGGGTCGAAAATTCGGGTCTCTCAATTCGGACTGATAGAAAATGTAAAGGAACGAATGGGTAGTGTCGGGGTAAGGTATGAGTTTTCGGTATCGATAAGTGTGCATTGAGATTATATAAACAAAAATATATAGAAAAGGGGGAAATGGATACTCACCTGGTCTTTTCCCGTTCGTCTTCCGGTGGAAGTCGACGACACTCTGCACGTGAAGGTCCCGGTTCGACTGGAATAAAGAAAAAGCGTCGATTAGGGTCTGGTCTACTGGGCGATGGGGGAGGTCGAGCAGCGGTTATAAAAGGCCCAAATGGTTTGCTAGTGAACGTGGATATAGGCGCCAGATGGCATTGCTTGTTATTAAAACAAGTACAGTACATTTATACTTTCCACATTTAAGTGTATGTTAAACGCCATCTGGTAATCAAAACACGAATTAACTGCAGTTAAAGTTTAAATGTAATAAACAGGTTTAAATATATAAACGATACGAGTATAAATACAAATCTATATATAGCAACTTAATATAAATAGAGAAAATTTATTCGAACTTCCTTTAATATTTACGCAGGTAAACAATTTACTTTTACGTGCATAAATGCATTCCACGTGCTCGGAAATACGTCTTAAGGAGTCTTAAGTTAATTACTAATAGCAAAATTCTTAGAATAATGACGTATATATTTGATTTATATTGAATTTCCTCACGAGCCATAGCGCACGAATGGCGTTTACACCGCATTTTAGCTACGTATTGCTAGGTAAACATATTAACAGAGTTTAACTTCTAAAACCAACATCCACTTTTAATCTAGTAACGATCCTCATCACCTGAAACGTCGCCATAGCAACCGGATCAAGTGATGCGGATCGCAAAAGATGCTTTAAATAGTTAGGAAGTTGGTTTATAGTTAAGGTAAGGAAAATCTCAAGATGGTCGTACGAAGTAATTGCCTGTAACGTGATATGTATACTTATCAATTTGCTATTTAATCTGGAGAACAGAGAGAACAACTACAGAAAATTATGTAATTAATAAGGATAATTGTAGGAGGAGGCGTATAATAGTAGAGAAAATATAAGATAAAGATGGAAGCTAAAGATAGGAAGAGTTAATTATAAACTTTAGTGTTTAATATTGGAAAGCTGAGGTACTGAAGGGCGTGTAACAGTCGCTTGAAAGAATGAACAAATATCAAAAATGTGCTTACAAATTCTGATATTTATCATGATAAATTATACGTTTTTCAAATTATAATTTTTTATAAAAAGTTACGCTTAACTCTTCCTTAATTATAGTTTAGGATACTTTAAAAATTTTTAAGTCATAATCTTTACAACGTAAACAATACTTTATTAACCTAAATTTTGAAAAAATTCTAGAAAATTAATTAAGAAAAATCGATATATTGAACACGCTAAATATCACTAAATGCATAATTAAGATAACAATAATTAAGCATAATTTATTATTTTACTAAATCAATTAACATAATTAACTAATTCAGTAAAATATTAAAAGAAAAATCAGTAAAATTGTACTGAACTAATTTTATACTTCCAAATACGTAAAAGTATGTTAAATACATTTGGAAGTAATTTTAGTGGAGCGAATTACATTATTATTAATTCGAAATTGTCATAAATTCTCTTACGTAATAAAAAAATAAGATAAAGACTACGTCATCTATTATTACAAATGAGAAAATCTTCCAGTATAATGACTGACAACTTCCTGTTTATTCCAAAATTGTCCTTGGTTAGAAATTAACTTTCTCTCTCTCTATCTCTTTCTATGTAGTGTTTAATAATAGAAGATTATATACAACAAAAGATTATCACTTTGTTTATATTTCAATTATTTCATCTTTTGTCATATCCATTTAATAAATGTTTAACAATGGTTCTTTCCATTAATCCTGCTTTCACTTAATGTATTTAAGAGACGGCAATATTAAATTTCTAGATTCTTTTTATTATTATTCTACCTTAAGAAGAAATGAAAGAAGTACTAGATATTGAAGTAGTAGACGAAGCAAAATGGTAGAAAGTAGAAAGGTAAAAGAAAAAACAGAAAAAGTTATTTACTGAATAATAAATTAAAGTGACAAATATCTGATTTAAAATATGTGAAAAGTTACTTAAAGTCTCTCTTCATTAATTAAAAGATTTGATATAAATTCTTTTTCATGACAATCTGTTTAGAAAATAAGGAATTTTGTTTACAAACTTCAGTTATTTATAAATTATTGAATTATAAATCAAAATGAAATATATTGAACTTATAGTTTAAAACTTCAAACTTTAAATTAAAAAAAATTAACTTGGAATTATTGATTTTTTTCCAATTTTTTCCCCCTCTCTATTGAAGAAAATATAAAATTACTATTAGTTGAATCATCGGTTATTTATATAAAATTGCAATCGATGCACTTATATATATTTTAAATAGATTTAATTTATAGTTTAACAACATATACTTGTATATAACGACGCGTCGCGGAGCATGCGATGCGATACGACGCGATTTGGACGAAAAATAAAACTTCCGTTTCCGGTACTGGACTGCTCCCAAAAATGCGAAGAATATGACAAAAATTTTGTTACGCATTCGCTCGTTACGTTTTGTTCAAAAAATTAAAATATTTCATTTATTCTAAATTACATGAAGAAAACGTAAATTGAATAATTAGAAAGAAGAAAATGGCATCTAAGTTAAGTGCTTTAATATTTTATATTATAAACTTATTACTCTTACTCAATTTTTTCTTTAATTTAAAATATATTTCCAAGTATATAAATTTTACACCTTTAAAATATTAAATTTTATATCATTCCAGAGCAATAAAGTGATGAAGTTCGTAATGGTTCAGACGTAAATACAGGGTGGTCCAAAAGTCAATTAACCGCGCTTTCGCAAGCAATTCTTGCAAATTTGTAAGCAAAAAAAAGAGAGAAATTTAAGCTTCACAACAGTTAATTGATTTTTGGGTCGCAGTACATTTATGAATAACGATCGATACTATAAAGTCCGCAAAATGTAATTATCTGGAGAGACCTCCTTCTGGACTTCTACATAGAAAACTCTAAAAGAGTAGTGCATTAAAAAATAAAATTTTTAATGCAAAATTCCTCTAAAATATTCATTTTTTAGGTGAATTTGATCATCCTGCCCGAATCTAGATACTGAAAATTTAATGGGATTTACGACTTTCTCCAAAATATGCCTGAAAGCAACGAGATGAGAATCATCTTGCTATGGAAATGACAATGGCAAAGTGTAAATTTAAGTCAAAAATAAGGATTAGATTTTTTTTAAATTTATTTTTTATAAAATATTTTCAATATTTCATTTTTAAAAATAAAATTATATATGTATGTCTATGAATGAAAGAAAAATTGATAACAATTTCCATTTCCGGGTAGCGAATAGTTCATAAACATCAAGATGAATATCTTTAAATGTGTTTAAATCATTAAAATTTTTATAATTAAATAAAAAATAATAATAAATTAAAAAAAATTATGTTAATGATGAAATAATTAGTAAGAAATGCGAAATATTCGCTTCAAATTAACCAAATCACGTTCGTAGCTTCAAAATTACGTCTAGAAATTGGGAATCTTCGCATTGAATTTGCATTTAAAAAAACAATATTTTTTTAATATTTTGAGCAAATTTAATTAAAATTAAATTCACATAATTCAAATATAAAAAATTGAAGGCGTTAAACATTAATTTTCCATCGTACTTCATAGAAATAACGTATTTTGGAGCGATAAGATAGCAATTTAGTCTCCACAACAGTTAACTGACTTCTGGCTACCATGTAGGCTATATGTATATAATTACTTTCTATATATAAACTTAAAATAATTTTATATATACAGAGTGGCCCAAAATTCTGTTAAGCACTATAAAGGTTTTATTGCTGTCAATTTTACTTGTTCTGTGTTCAGTTCAGCGATTCATATTCGCAAATGTACACGGTTAACTGATTTTTGGGCCATCCTGTATATTTATTTATTTTATTAGGAAAAAAATCTTTTAAAATATAATTATTTCTAAAGAATTATCTACGTAAGTATCTCGTTAAATTCAAAACTATAATAAGAGTTATCCATGAATGAAAAAAATTAATGAATATGAAAATTTTAATTAATTTCAACGAAAAAATAAATAAGTAAATAACTTAAAATGTTCGTAATGAAATTTTGAAAACATATTTTTAATTATTTTCCATCGTTAATATTCATTATTTGTTTATCTGTGAAGACCTTAAGTAGGCTTTCAAGGTGCAACGAACAAGGAACTTCATATTTTTAAGCTAAATTTTATATTTCAAACTACTTTTCTAACATAAATTCGGGAATTTTTAACAGATTTCAACATCACTTAAGTAAAATTTGCATTAAAATCCATTTAAACTTACATAAAATTGATGATAAGAGCATCTGATAAAATGCATTAATTGTTCGGTATTGTGTGTTGAAGGCATCTTGATAAATTATTATAAAAATAAAAATTATAATATAAAATTTGGCTTTAGTTTTTAATCAATTAACATGCAAAAATTTCCTCCAAATCTTTAAGATGCCTAAGGATAAACTCCTCAATCAGTGGATAGAGAAAATAAAAAATAGATTTACTAATTGAAAGTCACGGATCTGTATGATTCATTCCACATATCATCACGTTAGTTTATTTACTATAAAATAGAGTGAATAAACGAAAAATATTTTAAGAAATATTGATGTAGAAAATGGAATTTTCAGCAAACTTTCTACTAAAAAAGAGCCATTAAACAAGGAAATACAGAATAAGAATTTTGCTATCTTTAAGATCCAAATGTTGTTTTCTTTCTTGAACGGAAAAGTTTTTATCGTTAAAGGAAAAAGATGATCGAAAGTTTCATTAATATCGGATTATTTTGGTGATTTTTTGGAAGTTTTAACGATTTTTTTACGTATTTTGCAGCTTTCAATCAATTTAAATCGATTGTTAACAAGTTTTAACGCAAAAAAATGGCAGAAAATTGTAAAAAAATATTAAACATTTTCTATTATATTTATATACGAATTGCATCACAGACGACAACAATTCACTTAAATTATTTATAGATTTGGAGAAGTCTTTCTAAATACTTATACAAGGACATCTTAGGAGAACGTGAACTGTGTTAAAGATATTTAAATCAAGCAATAAGCTCTGTGCATATGATTACATAT